TTTAGCGTCATATTCCATGTATTTTGGAGACAAAGTAATTGAGTGAAATCAGATTATGTTAGATCAACACAAAGGATTATATTGCTGGGTCAAATCTCGAGCGGGTGCTCAGTAATCCGTAACAGATTACATTTTAAAAGGAGCCTGTACCATGCGCGGGTGGATGTGTGGTGGAGATTGGAAAAGGTTTGGATATGAGAGCCATGTCAGTGGGACTGCATGATAAAAATTGGTTCTGACTGTGCTCAGTTCTCCCATCCACCTCCTGCCCGGCGTCTGCGTCTACTCTATCATGATGAGTGTGCAGGTAGGACACAGCAAGAGCAGAGCAGAGTGAGCGATGGAGACAGACTGAGTGTGGGAAAGAGAAAAAGCAGAGTCGGGAGAACAGAGCAAGCCTTTTGTAATATCCATAAATCAGCTGATATTTTATTTTTTAAAAATAGTTAATAAAAAGCACCACAAGCCCAAGGTCTTCAAATAGCTTCTTTTATTTGATCAACAGTCTGAAACCTAAATATGTTTTATCTACAATGATAAAATACAGAGCAGGGCTCAATTCTAACTCTTAAGAGTGGTTGCCAGGCATCAGCTTTTTGTTCTTTGAATCTTTGATTTAATTAGAAAATAGATAACCGGTGTGCTCAACATCTACGTCAAAGTAATAAATACTAATAAATCTGGAACTCTCTTATCGTTCTGTGTCCCTACTTTAAATTCTGAGGGTTTTGCGGGTCCCTGAACGCAGCACAGGCAGAGCTCTGCATGAGTTCTTTTTCCCCTCAGCTCCATTTTGTGGAGTTTGGGTCTTGGTGTGGATACTTGATCACTTGATTGGATCAGAGCTGATCAAAAATGAAACCTCATAAATGAATGTGTGGGAAACCCTTGGACATGTATGGATGCCTCCATGCAAAATGTTGATCAGAGATGGGCAGTATTTATATTACCAGTATTTGAAATATGTACTTCAATTCGTTTTGAGTATCTTAATAATCATTAGTAATCAGTAATTAGTATCTGATACGGCTTAAAAGAAATCAGATGTCTTTTTTTTTTTTTTTACAATACTTTAGATTGGAGTAATTCTGTGTTCTCAAAATACCTTCTTTTTAATTCGTAAAACATGAATAAATGAAATGAGAGCTTTTAATTTGAAACAGGAAGTCACAGACTCATGCTGTGCGTTTCAGTACCCATACTACCATACTATATAGTATGCCAGAAAAAGATGTAGTATGTCCCAATAAATAGTATGTCAAATGCAGTATGCCAAAAACACCAGGATGTTCTACCACATCCGGTCCGATTTTGCAGTATGCAAGCCAGCATGCTTTCTGGCTGTTCTGACCCACAATCCTCTGCGCAGTGGACGATACGTCACATCGGCTGACCACAAACACATGACAGCTGATTGACAGCTATCAGAAGTCCCAGTGACAGATGACCTCTAACCTCTAACCCATGACAAACAACAGGACATAACTATGAAAATGGCAATGACAGAGAACTACAGATGTAATTTCACCGTCACAAATATATAATATAGAATCTACAGTCTGTGCAGTTATAAGTTAAACTACACACGCTGCAAAGTAACAACAGCAGAGCTTTACGGATTGATCTCCGTCTCTGGCGAATTTGGTAAGTGCCGTTTGTTTATCTCCAAGGTAACGGATATAAAAGGAAGAGGGTCGGAAGTTCAGTTTGTAACAAAGTAGTATGTCCCGATTGTGTGCATACTGCATGCAACAGCACGTACTTTTTAAGGGCAGCTACAGTGCAACAATCTGACAACCACTTTTTTAGCAATTAGCCAGGAGGTCAGAAGAGAGAAAGTAGGCAGGACATACAACTACCTCCGTCTTTTTGGGATGTAGAAATGAGTTCGACAACATGACTGCCTCGGAGGTAAGACTGTCTGACAGTGTGCGCCATCATCCCTATACAAACGATTTTAGCGTCTCACCCCTCTCTGCAGCAGTGTCACCGAAAAGCTGAGCAGAAATCATCATTTCCTTTATGACAAATGAGAAAATGAGGCCCCACTGCCTCCCAGTCCGAGTTTAACTGTGACTGCACATTGATGGACGCAAATTAAGAGGAAGGCTCAGTACAGTATGTGCACCCTCAGGCTACAATAAGAGCAGCAGTATGAAAAAAAGTATTTTACACAGTTACTTAGCAGACAGCACTTTGTCATTAATTTCAATGAGCACGCATGGTTCATAAAAGGTTGCTACTTCTGAAATATCGCCGGGGAAGGCAGAGTGGGCCGCATGTCTGAATGCATTTGTAACTTTACCCATGCATGTATGCATGTGTGTTTTTTATGGTCTTCTCTCGTGATGCTAATGCAGGTTTGCAAAGATCGTGGGCGGTTTGTGACTTAATGTGGTTTTCACATTTGATTACAATCACGTCACACTGCCCCTTCAAGGGTAATATTTGCTCGGCATCTCTGTCTCTCTCGCTCACATGCACATACTCACTGACACACGCAGAGGTATTGTGAGTTCATTAGATCCCGTCCTTTGAAAAATGTGTTTTTCTTATGCTTATGTCCCCTAAAATGTCTGACCATGACCAAACTGACTCGTATTTGTGCAAAGTTTGTTACTAGAAATGCTTTTAGATTCATCTACTGAGGGGGCAAAGTCTGTGCACTTCCCTAAATCTGAGATTCAAATGTATGCTGGGCAAACCAGATTAGGTACGTTACTAATATGGAAGTCAGTCATGTCTACTTATGTAACACTATTTGACAGGGGAACAGACTTTGAAACAACACTAGCAAAAAACATTAATAAAAGATGCTAATGAGACTTACTTTTCAGATACAGCTGCTAGTCACTGATTTTATTGCACATCTGAGTTTGGGTCTGACTGAGGCTCAAGCATGTATGGCTGAATCTCTCCAATGTTTCCTCAAACTAGCTGTCTTTTTGTACACTGCTCTTGCACTAGTCAACCGAGTGCTAGTCTCCTGTACCCAAAAGAATCTCCACACGTTGTTTGTCAATGTGTCAGTGCTGGAGAAAGCAGACAGCAAAAAGCAGTGGTTGTTGGCGAGACGCAAGGCACGAGGGTGCATTCACACCAACCTTGTTTGGTTCGGTTCAATCAAACTCCAGGTCTTTTGCCCCCAAAGTGGAGTTCGTTCGGGCAGGTGTGCGCCAAAACAACCAGACCGAGACCTTCTTGAAGAGGTGGTCTCTGTCTTTTTTCAAACTAACTCTGGTGCGGTTTGTTTGTGGTGAGAATGTGTTCTTACCTGGATCTGAACCAACTGCAGTCACATGACACATTGTTTGGGTTAAACATGAGCATGTTACAGTCCTGGAGGATTATTAATGTGCACCTCCTCCTGTACTGCCTTAATATGCACATTCAGCACATCCAATGCATCAAAACATTGTTTTCTAGTTGGAGCCGCGCCTCGTTTTCAAACTGTATGGTTTGACTAAAATGAACAATGACAGCAATATAGTCCACGATGATCAGCGCTAAAATCAACCTGCGTAGTTGTCCCTCCATTGTGACATTAGAAAGTGTTACATTTATCTTGCAAGTGTACTCTTCTTCAACGTTTGGTTTACTTCCTGGATTTTTCCCACATGGAAATTCTGACCAATCAAGAGCAGCTTTCTCACTCAAGGCATTTGATCTCGTCCGCTTGTAAATGCTGCCATGAGAACACGAACCAACTCTAGGCAATAATACAACTTTTTCTCCTCCTTTTATTAATCTTAGCCGAATACTTTTTACATACTTTAAAATATGTCTGGAGAGGAACTTTAAGTTCATTAGTCAGTAGTGTGCGCTTCCAATAAGCTGACAAAGTCGTCGTAGTTGTAAAAGTTGTATGAAACAGCCTCACTTGTCTTAATTACAGACTGTCCTATTAAGTCTTAAATTGTATGTTGAAATCTTAAACTTTTCAGTTTAAGGCAATCCAGTAATCAGCACAATGTGTTTGGCATATCGGAGTCTCTAATCTGTCGTTTTCACAAAGTAGAACAAAGACACATTTACTCCTCTCTAATTGGCAGTGGTTGCAAATGTGTTTTTTTTTCTGGCCGGACATTTTTTCAGTTGTCCTGTTTCAGTGGCCACAGAGGTCATTACAGGTCTACCTAACCATGGGGAATCAAAACTGACCCCAGGCGTGAGTCAGAGGGAGTCTGAGTTATACTCTGTCTCATTGGGTCGGGTCATTTTAAATGTCATTTAAAATGTGTCATTTTATTGCCATGTATTTTGGGTCAGAAAAATATGTCTAGCCTAATACCTGAGCGGACCTGAATGGATCAGAGCGTGCTATCGGCTGTGTGCAGGATATGAAAATCGGTCTTTCTGGCATTTAAATACATTACATTTGGAATTTGTTTCCATTACTTTACAGTCATTATTACTGAAATGATGCTCTTTTCGACAGCAACTGCTTGTTAATGGGTAGTGCAACGTGCTGCTGCTGGTGTTTGTGTTCTTTATTTGTGTCAATTCAGGTCTACAGTGTCCTGAATTGGGTCTACTTATCTTTATTCCACTCTATTTGTATTTATGAACTTTGGTAGACTTTCCATAGATCTGAGTTGGATCTTACCCAACATTTTGGATCACTAATTATTTTTACCTACACAAAATATTCAGTTTTTTGCCCTTGTTTTAAAAAAAAGACAATATTCCTATAAGCTGTTTACTTTGTTGTCAAAATGAATCTTCCACTAATACTCCCATTTACATGCAGCCCTGCATTCTCTGATTAACGTGCCCTAACATGATATTCATCACATCGCAATATGGAAAAGTTGAATGCTTGTGCCAAGATTTTTTCAAGTTTTCCACTGGTGGAACTGTGTGAACACATCCTCCCTCTTTCATTCTTTCAGCCACCTTCTTGAAAGGTCGCTGTTGTGATATGTGGGCATATTCAAAAACCTGTTGATATCCAAGTCTTTCATGATGTGTAAAGTAGGTGTGTTTCTCCTTCCCACCAGGAATGTGGGCTTTTCTTATGGGCATGCATCTCCATCCCCTGCCTTGACTGTTGGCAAGTTAGCCATACAGGTAAGAAGCCGTGTGTCACAAACTGCAGTAAAAACCCCAGTTGAGATGCGCATTTCAAATGCATTGTACACATGTCCAAAGAGTGCTCCCAAAACCTGACTAACATCAGCATATTCCACAAGTCTGAATTTGGAAAATCCAGACGGAAAATGCTGTTTCCATTCAAATTCAAAATATTGTCATATTCAGAGTAACAGTGGAATATTAGCGTGCATGTTAGCATACCTAATGATAATCCCTAACTTTGGTGACATCCTTCTCATAGATTTGTGACTTTGGTTTTCATCCATCTTTTAGTCTTGGCCAACGGGAGTGTCTTATTTTTGCATGTTGCTCAGGAATGCTTTGTGATGGAGGATTCCTCTTCCTCCTACTCTCTGGCTCTGTCTTTCTCTCTCTGGCTATTCTCACACAGCCAGGTAAATGCAACTGTCATCGCTTATGTGTATATAATGATAGTATGCTCAGACAGTTTCACATTTGAGTTGCTCCCACTTGCTTAAGTGAATGCAACATTTGTTGTGTACTGTACTGTAAGTGCTGTGCTTAAAAGCAGCAACTTCAGCAGTAATACAAGTATTATTGAATCAGCACCGGCTGATGGAAAAATCTATGTCGTACTTTGTGTATTTGAATAGTACATCACAGTTAAAACACTTCAGGTTGCTGCAGTCATCATGTTTAGTGTGTATACGTGTGTGTAAATTCAGTTGTCAATCCCAAACACTGACATCTTTATTTATCTGTGTTCATATTGGGCTTCCGTTTAGAATGTGTATTTCACTGATGAGGCCAGTTTGACCAGAAGCTATACAATATGTCTCCTCCTGGTGATGGTTTAATTTGTACTCAGTTGTAAGTGTGTTTGTGTGTGAGACAGTATGTGTGTGTGTGTGTTTGGCCGAGAGCAATGAGGGCCCATGAGTTCACACTTCACGGAGCATCAAATGGATGAATCAATTTCAAGGCTTGCAGGAAAATAAATGTATGTTTTGTGTGTGTGTGTGTGTGTGTGTGTGTGTGTGTGTGTGTGCACGTATGGGGGTTATGCAAACAAAGCTGCACAAGCATATTCACGTGCCCCAGTTGCTTTGTTATAATGCACATGTTGCCATGCACAAACCACACATAATTTATAAATGCATCATGTGTGTAAATGTGACCTTGTGTGTGCACATGTAGATTCATTTGCATATTTCACATTCACATATCTGCCTACATTTTAAAGGTGCAGCTTCGTCATGTTTCATCACGTGCAGGTTTAGGTGAGACAGAAGGGACCAGTTATGGGTCATCCTTGCTCCCATAAAGGACGCCTGCCACACCATCTCCCCTACAGAGCTGTCATTACACTGAATGTGTGCATGTGTGTGTTGTGCGTCCTCCTCACCACGCAAATTGACAGTCTGCTCGGCTATAATTTCATTTAATCCTCATCATCGCCCTGCATCGTGCTGAAACTCAGTGTAGTCATGCTGTTCAGGCAGCAGTGCTGCAGGTGACACAAGACTCGGGGTCAGCAGGCAATCTGTTGCCCAAATTTGTGTGTTCGTTATGAGTTTCAACACAGTCATTGACAAAAGCTGCTGTTGGATCAAATACAGATCATTAATAAAAGAGGGAGTTAGAGGGGAGTGGAGGGAGACCCAAAAAAAGCTTAAAGGGACACTTCACCCCAACATACAAACTACATATTTTTCCTCTTATCCATAGTGCTATTTATCAGTCTAGATCAGGGTTGTCAAACATACGGCTCAGGGCCAGCACCAGCCTGCCAAAGGGTCTAATCCGGCCCAGCAAAACTAATAGTGATGCACTTGTGAGGGCTAAGAGGTGCCAGGTTTCAGGAGCAACACTGAGTCGCTTTCTTCTTGTAAAACGCTGCTTCAGAGGCTTTTTCCAGTTCTTTTCTTTCACTTTAGTTTGCTCTGGTGATGTCAGGATTACTACACAGGAGTGGAAATGTACAGAAAAATGTACATGCAGTGACAGAGAGTAGTCGACTGAATGTGGAGAACTGAGAAATATTATTGAAGTTGCATTTATTCTTCTGAAGACATCACAGGCTGTTTGTCATCTGTTTTGTAAATGGGTTAGTTATTTAAAAATGTACTTCTTTAAACAAAAAAAAGGGTAAAATTTGGAGGTGTTTGTTATTCATAGGATATTTTGCAGTGGTTTTACTGGTCCAGCCCACCTGTGATCAAATGGGACTGTATGTGGCCCTCAAACTAAAACAAGTTGGACACCCCTGGTCTAGATTGTTGTAGTGTCAGTTGCCAAGTGGTCGGTGGAAATTTGTGTTTGGTAGATTATTTCTTTGTTGTAACATTGGTTCTTGGCAATAAATCCTATACATATATGTGGAAAGTCTGTTTATTTCACTTTTATATGGTGCCACATTTGTAAGGAACACGCGTTTGTGGAATGAGCAGCAGAGCTGAGTATGTGGGTTGTGCCCATGAAAAATTTGCTAAATCTTCTCTGTCTTCTTTACTGGAGTCTCAGTAGTGTGTGGAAAAAACCACACACAGCCACAACAGCCTGGCACCTCCTCCTCATGCTGGTCACCAGCCTGGTCACACACTGCTGTGGGATGGGATCCCTATTCTTCAACCAGCATTTGTCGCAAGTCAGCCATTGTGGTTGTGGTTGGGTCACTCTGGCACGAACAGCACGCCCAAGCTGATCCCACAAGTGTTCAATGGGGTTGAGGTGAGGACTGCTGTCAGGCCATTCCATCCTCTCCACTCCCATATTCTGGAGGTAGTCTCCGATAAACCCCGCTCTGTCGGTCCCAGACTGGAGATATGGGATTCCTACTAGTTGCAGAATTTCATCTCGATATCTCTTTGCATTGAGATTGCCTCCAATGAGGTGCAAATCAGGCACCTGATTGTCAGCACCTGGGAGTACCAGAAGCTCAAAACAAGAGTCAATAGCGACAGAAAAAAAAAAAAGCTGTTTGGCATTGGCAGAGAAGATTTGGCAAATTTTTCATGGGCACAACCCACATACTCATCTCTGTTGCTCATCCCACAGATGCATTGTCCTTACAAATGTGGCACCATTTAAAAGGGGAATAAACAGGCTTTCCAACGGTAAGAATTACTGTAACATGGTAATAACGGTAGAATTTACTTACTTTTTGTGCTTAGTTTAGATGGCACTCGGCTTGTGGTGCTCAAAGTACCAAAAAAATACATTTGAAAAACTCCATAGCAATGTCTCTTTCCAGAAATCATGACCCAGTTACGCAAGATAATCCACTGTACTTGTTGTAATCTGTTTCATGTAGGGACTATATTCTTACTGCCAAACTACACCCCTCAACCATGTCACCACGCTGGAGGAATCGTACATCTACTGCTAGCTCACCTAGCTCCTGAGGTGGCGCTGTGATGCAGTTTGCGGGTGTAGTTTGGTAGAAAGAAAATAGTTTCCACATGAAATTGCTTTTGACATTCGAGAGAAATCAGACATCTCTACGGTCGATATCTCTGACGCTCGGCAACTCACACCAAAAGAATCTAGTTTGATAAATAGCACTACAGGTAAGAGAAAAAATATATATTTTTGATTTTGGGGTGTACTGTCCCTTTAACATTTGCAAGCTCTGGCAGATTTGCCACTTCAAAAGAGTGTTAGATAAAATAAGCTATTAGCAGACTTGTAATTTGTACTATTTTAACCAGTAAGACTAAAAACTCAAATGAAAACACTCATTAGTTGCTGCCCTACTTCCATTTTAATGCGCTGCAGAAAGTCAAATATTGAGTGTATTTTCAGCTACGATAAAGTTGTGTGTATTTTCGTCTGTGTCTGTTTTCTATTCATACTCCAACACCAGCCGCAGTAAGATGACGCCAGTGTTAACACCAGAATCTAAGTCCCTCACCCTGGCTCCTTCTCCTCCTCTGTAACATACAAAGTAATTACATCTCTTTCCACTACACCCGCCCCCCTCGCACACACACCACACCCTCGTCTCCAGGCTCCAAATGTCAGCCTCATCAGCTCAATTATCCACTGACTTTAACAACATCCTTACATAACCCATTTAGGTCTGTGCTGTCTGAGAGCTCGGAGATGACAAACTTCCACTGCCTTCCCCACGCCCAAATTATTGTTTCTACCTTCACCCACCTGTGAGGAAGGGCCATTTTAACTATATGGTGTTATATTAAATACAGACGCTTTGGCCACAGGCTTATCTACTTCCATCCTACTTAAGCTGTGCATCATACCCTCCTCTTAAAGATGCTTTAGAGGGTATACTTTAACAGAGTCTGTTTGTATTTGCTTGCTTAGGTCCCTCCGTGTGTGCCTGCATTGTCAATCCAAAGGTCAATCAATAACTGAATCATTCCTGTGAATACATAATTGGCTTATTCATGAACTTCCCCAAATAGATCCTTCAGGGTCCTGTCACTCAAGCATTTTCATTCAGATTTCCCCCCACTCGCTTTATTTCCAGTTCTCCGCCGAGCATTTTATTTATGGATCAGCATTTACGGAGAATAGCTTTACTTTGATGAGGCAAAGCTCCGCTGGAGGAGACTTGTGATCTATTTTTGTGCAACAGCACATGGGACTCACGTGCTGGGTAATAAAATGCCCTTGATGTGTGCCCTTTGTCTTACAGAGGGAGAAAAAGCTGCACATACATACATAATCGGGTGGGAACTATTTTGAGATGACTTTTCTTTTTTTTTTCTTTTTGACTGTGCGATTCATTTGCCTGCTGGTGGAAAATAGATGTGAATCACTCACCATGGCTACTCTCCAGCATCCATTCACTCTACACTCTCTCTTCTTCTGTCCTGATTTACTGTGTCACTGTCGTTCAGTCATTCTGACTCTCCTCCTCTGCTCCCTCGATTCATCTCCTTTTATTTCCTATTTTCTGACTACTCTAACAACAAAAACTTACCTATAACACTGATTCTGCCGTTTATTTCCCATGCCTCCAGATGCATTCCCTCCCACCCTCACCCTCC